GCCACCCAATTGAATGGCTTTCTTTCGATTGTGATCGTTTTTTTGGGCGAACTCTTTTGGAGGAAGTACTTTTTGGGTGGGTCAAACAACTCAAGTCGGCAAATTTTTAAATGGAATTTTATGGGTTGGTTTGGGAGTAAAATTTCCATTCTGGATTTGATATTTTTTGATAATAGAATGGGTATACTTTTAGCTAATTTAAATATTCAAAAAGATTATTGTAAAATAAGACATTAAAAGCTCACACAAAAAGATGCTAAAAATGATTTCAATTAATGCTCTGTCTAACTATGGAAATAAAGGGTAAATAATATATTTTTTATTATTGTAGTAAATTAAAAAACATAAAAAGTCAATGACATTTGTCAAATGTTGTTGATAAGATTAAGTTTTTACATGTCCCATCAAGGTTTTCTTCAGACTGAGTTTTTGATTTCATGCCCTGCCATCACGTTCTAAGTATAGCATTTCATGTTGTTTGCCAAGAATGTTGGGTATCATTTGAGCTTTATCTTCTAACTATAAAACTGAGTGAACGCTAGATATATAGAGTACCGAGAAGAACCACAAATTTTGGTATTTAAGGAGGGCTGGATTAACGACACTTGTTGCTGTTTCTTTGAAGGAGTTTTTTTTTGGGGGCCCCTTGGGGGTGGGGGAAATGAAATTCAGCTATTTCATGGAGAAAAACTGCTGACGCCATTTGTCGAGCATACGCCGCATTGCCCCACGGCTGATTGTACGAGTCGCGAATGCGAATTCGAATTCAAATGGGAGCGAAAAAGTGCTCAAGCTGAGCCCGTGCTCATAATTGGTTACAACTGACACAAACCAGTCCGGATCGGATGGCCTGGCCAACTCGGCGACTCAAAGAGTGAGTCAAATGTAAAGAAAGAGAGAGAGAGTGAGCTTTATCAGGGGGAAAACATTCTCTCGATGGAGAGTCCTCTTATCACTCGGATCTGGGGGCTTTTCTCTTACCCCCTTTTTCGGATGGTAGTTTTGGACAAAGTGTTCCGGTTTGTGGCTGTAGTACCAATTATATCTTATCTGGCCTTCAGCACTGTGGTTCAAATGGCGGCCGCATTACTCAGAGCCATCTAGTTTACTATAACTTCAATGCGATTCTGCGACGCAGATCTGGCATATAAAGATATTTGCCCCATTTATCGTCCCGCATTCAAGTAAATCCCATCTGGCAATCTTCCCCTAATTGTTAACCCATTAAAACGGAAAACACTTCGTTATGGAGGCGTTTGTCACTGGCATTATTTTTATTTGTCGCCAAGCGCTCTAATTGATGCCAACAGTTTTGTATATCTATTTAATAATAATTGCTGCTTGGCAAACAAAAGACATTTTGCCATAAAAGCTTAATCAGCGACAAACAAAAGCAAACATTCGAATCAATTGAAGTTCACAGAAGGGAAATTCGATATAGAGGGAATAGTGTTTTCAAACTGAACTTAACGAACTTGAATGGGTACACAGCGAAAAGGGTAAGGTATTTATTAAATGATTAGTAAACTAAAATTTCTAGATAATTGGTTTAAAAAAAGGTAAAATATAATGAATAAATTCTTTTTTAAAATAATGATCTAATAATTTACCATTTAAGATTATCACTTTTTCATTTCATAAAACTATCTCAAAGTTTCTTTCTGTGTAAATATAAGGGTTGCAGTGAAACTAATCAAATGCATTCTTAATGAATTGAAAGACAGAGAAATAGAGGGAAACAACTAATACTTTTTCGGTACCCAAAAATCAGTAGTCATAAATGACTCCCCAATTTCTTTCCGTATGAAGCGGGGGAAAATCGAGTGAAAGGGATAAAGTGCATTCTTTATTTGAATAAAGAGAGAGGGCAACAGCGTGGTAGAAAGAGAGGGGCGAGCCAAGAACACTCTACTCATTTTCAGTTGCAGCTTACAGCTGGCAGCGGAACTTTGCTGGCACGCGAAAGCATTTAAAACCGACAACATTCGGTGAACTTGAAGTCAAAACGAATCCAATTGTCACGCGAGCAGCAGCAGAAGATCGCGAGCGAGAGGCCAACAGCTGATCGCTGAGTGTGTGGGAGCGAGTGAGTGAGAGGGAAAGTCGCTCAGGATCGGCGGGAAAAGCAGATCGACCTGTCGCAAAATGTAAAATTCATAACAAATTGCCTAATTAGTAAGTTCAATCCCTGATGGCTATTATTATAAAATCCGTTTTCGAAACATTTCGCAAGAGTGTGTGAAAAAAACAGACGCAATAACAATTTATGATATGAGGGAAGTTTAAGTTTTGCGTGCTAAAAAAAACCTCAATGAAAAACCACAAAATTCGAACGGTTCAAGGACCAAAACTGAAGAAAATAAATACACCCAGAAAAAAAAATGACCTAAAATGTCAAAAAATGGCCTAGAATTTAGGTAAAATTGGCCTAAAACTGGAGCTAAGTCCTTGAATGGCCTAAAATTTAGGATACCATGACCTAAAATGTTAGGCCATTAAAGGCCTAAAATGGGGGTAATTTTTGGCCTAGATTTTAGGTAATTGGCTGCCTAAAAATATGAGAAAACCCCTATCCAAAAGTTTAGGCATTCTTTGGCCTAAAAATATGTACTGAAAAATTTATTATATTATAAAGTAAATACAGAAAAGTTTATAGCTAACTCGAGGTCAATGTCGGGCATAGTCTTCAAGAAGTCGTCATTATGCCAACACACAAAAAGGAGCGAGGAGGCTTCACAGTTCAGCAGTGAAATCGCTGTCTTATTCAACGATCGAAGTGGGTTACCATGCAAGCCGCGCTATAACTGGTTGGGAATTATAGCGTCGCCAAAACGGTATCAGAGTTCCGTGCAAATTTATTTAGGTAAAAGGCATTAATTTTAAGGCCCACGCTGACCTAAAATATTAGGCTATACGGGACCTAAATAGTAGGGCAAATATACCAAAAATTTAAATTTTTAGGCAGTACTTGACCTAAAAAGGAACTTTTAGTCCATTTAAAATGTTTTAGGCTATGCATGACCTAAAATGTTGTCCATCATTTTTCTGGGTGTAGAGAGATGATAGATGGTGATTTACAAATGATGTTTATGGATCCAATATTGTGATTCCGCTCCAATTTATTTTTGGTTTGTAAAAACGTTAAAGGGCAGCCAACTTTTCAGAAAAGAAAGCGAACAGAATATATTTTTTGAACAAGCCCAGAGCCAGACACCAAAATCTCCTTTGTTTGCTTTGTTATGGGGCGCCTAAAAAAAACACTTATACGCAAATACACCCCAAGTTAAATTCCTTTTAGCCCGACACCTTTGCATAAGCATAATCTAGGTGCTGTTAATATTGGCCCAACAAATTAATACAGTCCCGAAGATGATGGTCGTAATTCTCGCCCCTGATGTGTTAGCGCCTTTGATTTGATATTCGCTTTTTTACGCCTCTATATTGTTTGTTTTTCAAGTAGGTGCTAAAGTTAGACGGAGAGTGTAAGAGGATCTGCCGCCGAGCAGCATATAAACGCAGCTTAGTCACTAATTCAGTGAAAATCCCCGCTCGATCGGTCGGATAACAGGGCGTATGCGCGATGATGAGTAATGCTATCTATGAATATGAAATGAGAGTTCTTCAAAAAAGGGCCAATGGAGCCCTGCACTTTCTTTGTTCCTTTGTTGACAGCCGCCGCACAAAGGAAAGCCCCATGAAAATGCAATTATTTGCAAGAGTAATGTGTATTTTCCGGCTCTTGCGAAAGACCATCCATCTGGCAAATACAAGTACAGTTGGCCCATGTGAAAAGAGCGGCCAGCACGTTTTTTCTTGGCTGGGGGAAAGTGCGATAAGATCGAACCCGTATTCCGTATTTTGCGTTATGGCATTGAGTTTTTCGGCTACGCACCTCGATTTTTGGCCACTAACTCGTTAGCACTTGGAAGTCGGCTACTTGAGTGCTGCGTGTAGTCGTCTGAAGTTGGCCATTATCTAATCGGCATTTAGTGGGCCGCATGCCTTGTACTCGCCTTACCCACTTGATTGGGTTTTAATTGTATCAGAGTATTAGCCATGAGCTTTGATTTCTGATTAGTGTTGCCAACAAATTGATATTTATTTATGGCTCCCGGCTCATTCTACTTTAGCTACCAATAAGCCTCAAGTGTGTAATAAATTGTCGTCTACTAATTGCCGAAGAATATTGACTAATCAAATTATGCTTTCCTCTAATTGGTTGCGTCTTTTACAGTGGCTTTATTATTATAATAAAAGAACAAAGTTCAAGGGTCCATTGCTATCATATCTTTTTGTCAAGCACGGCAGGTATTATTTTGTACCTTGCTGTTTTAATGTTAATCTTTGTTAAAATATGTGTTCTTCATGTGCTCACCAACAGAACAGTATCTTTGCGGTTATGACTCCTCTTAAAACCTCAAAATAACAAATGTATATATAGAAACGGCGAAAAGAAAGCGACCCCAAAAGAGCGTATAATCAATGCGTATTACAAAATCACTGTCAATGCTACGATTGTGATGAATAATTAGCAGAATAATCGTAATGGAGTGAGTCAGAAAAGAATTTCCCCCTCTAAAGAGATATTATATGCGCCAAAGTCTTAGGCAAAAATATAAACTCGATAGGACATTTATTTATAGGGCAAGCTAATCTAAATTATTCAGAAGGGGAGTTTGTCTTGAGAATTAGCAAGGCAATTTCCTCTGCATGCGCTACAAAATCCGATCACAAGGGTGTGGAGTATGGGGATGTAAATCAAATGAAATCGTATCGAATCCAATCAAGTATACGCCGTGTGGTCTCTCATAAAAGACCGAAAATCGCAAAATTCAAGCTTGGCCAGGGGCTATTTGTTTGTTTTTCACAGGTTTTGGATTTAATTATGACCTGTTTTCTGGTCCGCCTGTTGAATTCGATTTGCCGCCGCCGCTGCCGTCGACGTTGCTGTGCGCGAACAGAACAGCTGTTTGGCGTTTTTAATAAACAATCGTCGGCATTTGGCAGCTCAGTTTGTGAGGAGCGTTCGGCGGATACACATCGCACTTATCGCTCTTGGCCAGCTCGTCCGTCCCAACGGGCCTTAACGGTTCCGCCAAAGCGCACTAATAAAGCCAAAAAAAAAACAATAAAAAATAAAATTATACAAATAATATTTACAAAGTTTTATTTAAATCAAGTCGATCGTGCGCGTTTGTTTTCGTGATTATCCAAACGGATAAACATTCAAATCTCGGGCTACAAAAATATTTTCGCTTTTTATTGGCCACGGCGTGTGCGTTTTGTGACAGAGCCATTGAACTTTGAAGTATAGAAAATATTTGGAAAGACATAAGCAATAGTATACCTAAATCCCTATACTAATTTGTTGTCGGGAAATTCTGTTTGCGGTGCGTCGCAGAAAAGCGCTTGTTTCTACGCTGCAAGAATTGTTTAAAATTATTCTTTTGTTTCGCCCGATCTGCTTTGTCGGTTGGTTCGTAAACAAATTTTGTGGCCGAATTTGCCAATTTCCCCATAAAATATAGCAAGAGGTAAATAAAATTTAGTTCCAAAAGTGAGCTAAATAAATAGATTTAAAGCAATTACGAAATGTTAATGTTACGAAACTCGAAAGATTTAGTGTACAATGTGTAATCAGAAGGAACCTTGGATTCGTTTCGACGAAAAGCTCACAAAAAGTGGTTCTTGGCGTGGAAAACCAAAATAAAAACCAGTTGCAAACAACCGAAATATGCATGAAGCGCTCCGCAAATTATTCATTTATTTCGCCAAGATGTAAATCATTAATGTCTCGCTAGCTGCCACGCTGTTGTCGAGTGGCCAACTCCCAGGGCAAAAACTATTCGGAGAAATCCAGCCGATCTATCCGAGGTCTACATACATATATCGTCACCAACACGTGCTCGGTCCCCAATTGAAAGTCGATTCTCGTACTTGACAACAGTCTCCGCTCCGAGTGGAACTATGGCCCTGGCATTAGTCAGGCCTCCCTCTAATATTTCTTGTTTTTTTTTCGGGGTTTTATCTAAATGAACGCCTATATAAATATTTTGCCAGCGATAAGTCCATGTAACCGGCTGTACTGATGACCTCCATTTCGGCTCGTTGAACACGCCGAACGATGTTTGGGCAAAGTCTGATCGCAGTTATCTTCGGTCTCCGGATTAGCGAACGGTAGCCAACTGATTATCTCGACTGGCGAATCATGTTCAATATGGTTAGATGGTTAGATGGTTAGCCCCGCGTGGAAATGTTGTTTTCTAATCGATTTTCTCGCTAAATTCCCAACAAACGTGCTAAATGAATCTAATTATTTGCCTATTACAATTATTTTAGACGAATTAGCGGGGAAAAGTAAACTAGGAATAGATGACAGAACGTGGCTAGACATAGCAATTAGAGTCACTCAAAAAATATCGGAACTTGATTAGAAGCTTTAGGTGCCTCAATTTTATTTTAACATCCGTAAGAACTATAAAAATATCACAAATATATTTATTAAGATGGAATTGTTTATTATGAGTATAAGTAAACTTTGTCAGTTCTTCTTGAAAATATTGTTAATACTGATGAAAGAAAAGCTTCTCAATATACCTTAAACTGTAAACAGCGCAAACAAATGGTTTATCTTCCATTCAAATTTAGTGTATTTTGTATGTGATTGCTTGTGAAAATATTTATTTAATTTCTTTGTTGTCTGTTTGTTTGATATACGGCCTGAAAACATAATAATCTTATCTAGATATATTCTCTGAAACGTTCAATGACCCAAATTAACGAACCAAACACGCTCTTCATTGCAGACCAAGCCAAAGCAACAAATGTGACAACTAACAATAAATTGTGATACAACACATGTGAAATCCGCTGGCAAATTGGGCTCGCCTCCTTTCCCCCTCAAAAAAAAGCTAGAAATTACCGTTCGAAGAACCAAGTCACAACCATCAACAGTACAAACAACTCACTTAGCTCCAATTAAACTCATTTCAACATGGATTTCGATCAGATTCTGGCCAAATGTGGCGACTTCAATCGCTACCAGTTCATGATACTCGCCCTCTTCGGGTTTATTAATATCATCGTATCGATGGTGAGTTATTATAGTTCTTAACTTTAGATTGCATTATTTATTTTATTAATTTGCATTTCAGCATTACTTTACACAAACAGTCATTAGTTTTGTGCCAGATCATTGGTGCTATCATGATAAGTTAGTGAATATGACCTATAAGGAGATCGGGGAGATCTATGCTCAGTTCGAGAATCCCTCGTGCACTCGACTAGACGACATTATCAGTGTCCACAATGTCACCGTGAGCAGCAAAGCCTGCGAGAAGTGGATCTACAACTATGATTTCGGCTACAGAAGCATGAACACAGAGGTAGGTCTGGGTTTTTTTCAAACCATAAAACTGGAATCAAGAAAGTTCTAACTATTGATAATTAATAATCAAATTTCGTTTAGCTCAACTGGGTCTGCGACTCGGCGTACAAGGCTCGCATTGGCCAGTCCCTGTTCTTTATTGGCTCCGTGGTGGGCACCCTCTTCTACGGCCTGCTCTCCGATAAGATTGGCCGTGTTCCCGCCCTAATCTTGTCCAATTTCTGCGGCTTTGCCGGGGATTTCTCCACCATTTTCACCAAGAGCGTGGCCACCTTCACCCTTTGCCGTTTCATTTCCGGTTTGGCGGCCGACACAAACTTCTACCTGATGTACATTATAGGTAAGTGAAAGAGTAGTGTACCTATAAATTAGAGCTATTATGTGACTATTTATTTTTGAGTACCATTTAGCAAGTTTATTTTCGATTAAAAATATAATATTTGGACTTAATGTTAGCAAATTAACTTGGTAATAATTTATAAAAGTGAAGGCGATATTTATGAGAATAAAGAAAGGGAATATTTGAATTTCGTATGATTTCAATTAGTTTATTTTAATTTTTAGCTTTACTAATGCTTTATAATACTTTATATCTTATAGTGCTCGAGTATATAAGGCCCAGCATGAGAACCCTGGGTCTCAACATGGCCGTGGGTCTGTTCTACTGCCTGGGCCTGGTCTTCACTCCCTGGCTGGCCGTTTGGGCGGGTCACTGGCAGATCTACCTGGCCTGCACATCGCTGCCCATCCTGCTGGTGGTTCTGTACTACTTCGTGGTTCAGGAGAGCGCCCAGTGGCTGGTGACCAGGAATGACATCGATGGGGCCATTGTGAGGCTGAAGCGAGTGGCCAAGTTCAACGGCTGCCGGGTGACCCAGGCGGAGTTCGACGAGTTCCGGCGCCATTGCCAGATGACCCGCGAAATGCAGGGCGGAGATGACAAGAAACAGGCCACCCTGCTGGACATGTTCAGAACGCCGCGCATGCGCAAAAACACACTCATTCTGTTCTTCAAGAGGTGAGCTACACACAAAAAAAGCATGTCGCCGTAAAATCGTTATGTGTATATCGTTTTTACATTAAATACTCATTTCGACCATATCAAATTTACCTGGCCCCAAGAAATGTTGATATTTCATAATGTAAAATCGATCTACGTTTCATAACAATTTTTTTTTGGGCTTATAAATATGTTTATCGAAATTCAAGACTCAAACTGGAATAGCTTAAATTTCTCTTTGGAGGTTCGAGTTATGAAAGTATTTAAAAATATTTATTTTAATATCTCTTATAATATTTTCTTTTATTTTCTCCCAACCATAGCATGGTAATCACCCTGTGCTACGATGCCGTCTCCCGAAATGTGGAGGGCATGGGCATTTCGCCCTTCATCATGTTCTCGCTAAGTGCCTTGGCAGTGCTGCCCTCGAGTATCCTGCTCGTCCTGCTGCAGGATCGCATTGGCCGGAAGGGCATGGCCTCGGGATCCCTGCTAGTGGGTGGCCTCTTCACAGCCGCCGCCGGAATTGCGATTGCCTACCAGCAGCACAGCCACAATGCCATTTTGCTGGCCTGCCTGACGATCGCCGCCCGTTTCGGAGTGGCCATCTCTTACGAGTCGGGCTCCCAGTACGCTACCGAGCTGATCCCCACCTGCGTGCGGGGTCAGGGAGTGGCTGCTGTCCACGTCGCCGGATTCGCCGCCTCCTTCCTGGCGCCCTACATTCTCTGGCTGGGCACCTTCTTCAAGGCGGCGCCCTCAATCATCCTGGGCGTCCTGTTCTTCGCGGGATCTTTCGTCTGCCTGCTGCTGCCAGAGACGCTAAACAGGTTAGTAAATTAAATTTAGGAAATTCATCCTTTTTTAATTTAATTTTAATTTATTTGTTTTAATATCCCGATTAAGTAAGACTAGGTATTTTTGAGTAACATCGGTCACTTTATTTGAATACAAGATTTCAGTAAATACAGATAAGAACACTTAATTGGATGATCGACAAAAAAATGAAATCAAGATTGATTGATGATTAATGAATCCATCATTGTATCTGCTTATAATGATCATTAATAAAGATTTGAAGCTTAAGATTACTGCAGTCTTACATTTACTTTCTAATCAAAAGATCTAGAGAATTAATAACGTTTTACGATGAGTTGATTAAAATGAATGTGTAATTTAGAAACATTTTGTTTATTACATAAAGATTAGCTCTTTGCTAATTAGATGATAAATTGTTTTCTTAGTAATTAAATTTTATTTTGTCATATTAAAGCTAGTATACAATACTAAAATTAATTTAAAGAAAATGGCACTGGAAACTGAAGTCCTTCGGCCAAGTAATTAAAATATGCGATTAATGTCTTGAATTGCAATACAAATCGGGAGATAGAAATATAATTACTATCTTACTTGGAACATTTTTTTAATAATTTTTTTTTATTTTTAGGAGCCTGCCCACGACAATCGAGGAGGGCGAGGTGTTCGGCAAGGGCGAGCGGATGTTCGACTTCCCGTGCCTGCACAACCGGCACGATGACGCCGAATCCGACTCCGAGCTGGAGAAGTACAAGCGCAAGCACTCGCTGATCGACGCCAAGCAGATGCAGATGGAGTCCTGCTCGAACGGAAAGCGCAAGCAGTCTTTAATCGATGCTGATCGCGAGGAGCAGGCTCTGAAGGACGCCAAGCACTGAGGAGCGAAGGTGACCTTCCGCCCTCAGTAGTTCGTTAGTAGTAGTTTAGCTAACCAATTTTCGCCTAGACCTTAAGACCCCAGGCCTACAAAAAATGTGTGCTCAGTATGCGGAAGCCTTTTCTTATATGTATAGAGTGTACCCTTACAAATTTATATATATACCTACAAATATGTATACTTATTTACCTACTCTAGCTGGTAATCATTTAGGGCGTAGCTGTACATTTAACTCGATCGAAAATTACTGTTTTTCCAAAATGCTGATTGTGTATAAGAATGGAATCGTATAGTTAACACTTAAGCGGCACAAAATCACTTAACTACAACCAATTGAATACTTATCGTAAGAGTTTTTCATACCTTCATGTACATAAGTGCGATACTACTTAGGCCAGTAACTGAATGTTCTATTTTTGATTTTGATCCTTAAGCAAATGAGAACCATTAAGCAAACTGATAATAATTATTTAAAATTAGAAAACAAAATATAAAATATACAAATTGAAAAAAAATGTACTCAAATGTTGTTAAGTTTTTCTTTCTTCTTTTTTAAGTTTTTTTATTAATCTTAATTTAAGAACTTGTTGCAGCCAAAAAAGATTTTGGCTAAACTCCATCTATGAGCGAGAAGCGAAGTCTGAAGATCGCCAGCGCCATCTGGAGCTGGGGTTAGGAGGAAAAAGTGGGGTGAGTAGGGTTGCAAGAGGCAACAGAGGGAAATGTAAAACTTCGTCCCAGATCCAAATCTAGGCACAAACGATGACCACCCGAACTCTTTCCATTTTAGCAGTCATCAGAGTAAGTTGGGCCCAATTTCATAAAACAGCCAACATAAAGTTTAAACTACAAAGTTAAGGAAAAAAGGTTGGCTATACATATACATAAACCTAAAATCATTGGAAAATATTAATTGTTCGAAACTACGGAAATACAGCAGTTTTTAAAACAATAATCAAATAAACAGTGCTTGCAGGTGGTTACAGTTTTACATATCTACATATGTACGAGTTTATCGCATGCGATTTCCAGTCTTGTTTCCCATTCAATTTAAAATGGTCTTTCCAAAAGTCTCGAACTGAGCGGGGAAAGAGAGGGAGAGGAACGAATGGAAGCTTAGCACGTCCGCGTTTCCTAAAGTCAGGCAAAGGAAAAGAGAGAGAGGATGGAAGTAACTTTAAGCCGGATTCCAAAAGCTAGGCAAGGAGAGAAGAGATGCTAAAATTTCAGTTGGATCGCGAATTTTACCGAGCCTGACGTTCGCAAGGTTTTTCCTCGGAAAATCGAGTAAAAATGTTGGAAAAAGGTTTAGATATAATGTTAATTAACAAGTTGAAGTAAACGCCTTACTAATTTTCTTAAGTAAATCGTAACAAGCAGTGCGAGGAGTGTAGTGTAAGAGTAAAAAGAGAAGGTAAATTCCTTTTTAATTGGCTGGCAGTGAAATAATTGATTGCGAGTAAAGTAGAAGTGTTAAATGTATTTGTTTAAGTTATTTCCCATATATACATAGACGCTTATACCTAAGCCGCCATTAACCTTGGTACAAAATGTGATTTTTCTTTGCATTTGCTTTAATGATATTGGAGAGCAGATATACATTTTTAAATCCCAACAACGGAACGGAATAATTGGTGAGTAAAAAATTCATAATTATATTGGTTAAGATAATGTTGTTTTTGAAATCATCAATATTGTCCATTAAGTTGCCGAGCAACCGCCATTAGTTTTCAAAAATTAAAAATAACAAATAACTACTACCTTTGTCCCACTGTGCGCTTTCGTATGTAGGCGACGAAAAGGAAACGGATTACAGTAAGGAGTTATATATATTCCATCCTTCTTCGCACTTCGTTCGTTGTTTCTATTGGAAGTTTGTATTTGATTATTACCTGCTTATTACTTACACAGGCCTGCAGGAATTTAGTTTTGGTATCTTCCAAAACGATTATATTACATGTGTATTTTTCTTTTAAATGTTTAGCTTAATAAGGATTTTTTATTGGCGTATATAAATACGTTTTATAAAGTTGAAAAGAAACCGATATTTTTACCTCCGCTTAAAATGAATATTTAGCAGTCCCACCCAGCAAACATAAAGGGTCATTCAAAATAAAAGAAAATAAATTAATTGGCTCAGAATGGGCCCATAATATAGGCCCATAATATAGACCCTTGGCAAACATCTGAGGAAACAAGTGCGTCCTATTTTCTCTATCACTTCGGTTTTCTCATAATTATAATTATAATTGTCAACTCCATTTGCTTTTTAAATATTTATAAATTTATTGTGAAAGAAAAGGAGTACATCATATATTTATACCAGTTCTGTTGTGGATATATAGGTTGGATAAATGTATTCTAAACAACGGTTTTTGTTTAATTACTATGCATCCTTCACATGAGTAATAACTATCAGACCATTCGGTTACAGGGGTCAACATTCCGTCGGCCCCATCATCAGGTTAAGTGGCTAGCAGGTTAAACAGCAGTCAGCTTTCAGGTGCATCGTTCTCTAGGGTTTAGGGTTCAGACTTGAGGTCCTCATGCTTGGTCAGACTTTCGCGGCGTTTGTGTAAGCATGGGAAGTACAGGCAGCTCTCGTTCATCGCGAACCGCTCGCCATCGGCCAGGGTTTCGGGGAGTTTCCTAAATTGATGGTGAAATTAGTTAAAATGGACGATCTTAAAGGTAAGGGCCCTTCACTTACTTGTGCAGAGTTTCTGGAAGGGTGAGGCAGAGCAGAGCGCCCAGGAACATCAGAATGCTGATAAAGATCGAGGGCAGTGGCTTGTAGTACTGCGCCAGGTAGATCACATAGAAGGCCAGTGAGCTGGAGGCCAGGCCCACCACATGGATGTTGGACACCGCCTGGCCGCGCACACTGGTCGGAATGATCTCGGCGGCATATTGGATCTCTGCATCGTAGGAGACGGTGGTGCCAAATCGGCCCAGACCCACCATCAAGGCCAGCAGGATGGCGTTCTCATTGGGATCCAATACCGCGATCAGGAATCCTGTGGCGGCGGTGATAATTGCACCCACCAGTAGAGCTCCACAAGCCATGCCCTTGCGACCGATCTTGTTCTGTAGCAGCAAAATGGTGAATCCCGCTGGCAGGTAAACACTGGAGGTCAGCGAGAACAGCTTAAAGGGCGAGGAGCCCAGACCCTCCATGTTCCTGTTGATCACGTCGTAGGAGAGCGTAATTATGACCCTGAAATAAAAAGGTTAGCTATGTGATATCACAACAACAAAGGATTGGACCTACGATTTAACCAGCAGAGTGGTGGTGAAACGACGCAGCCGGGGAGACTTAAACATCCCCAGGAAAGTGTCCGTCTGCTTGTTCAGCTTGCTCTCCTCGTTCATCTTCTCGCGATAGTGCTTGACAAACTCGTCGAAGACGGAGTCCTCCACCTGGCGACCATTGAACTTGGCCACCTTCTTCAGGCACTGGACCGCCTCATCGTACTTCTTCTTGGTCAACAGCCACTGGGCACTTTCGCAGATGAGGAGTGGATATATGAGGACACCCAGAGCTGGCAAGGAAGCCAGCCAGAGGTAGCGACGCCAGTTGCCAATCCACATGGCGATCCAGGGCGAGGTCATCAGGCCGAAGCAGTAGAAAACTGCCAGGATGATGTTCAGACCAAAGGTGCGACGCTTGGGACTAAGGTACTCGAAGACTGCAGATCAATAGATGAGTTATTTTGTGTGAATTAGCTGTAGAATCCCCAAACTCACCCAAGATGTACATGAGGTAGTACATGGTATCCGTGGACAATCCCGATACAAATCTGGAGAAGGCGAACCAGGGCAGCGTGTGGACAAAGGAGGTGATAAAGTCACCAGTCGCACCGGACAACGAGGCCATCAGCATGGCGGGCAGTCGGCCAATATGATCCGAAAGAAATCCGAAAGATATTGTTCCCACCACTGAGCCCAGGAAAAAGAAGGATTGACCCACAGCCGGCTGGTGGGATTTGTCGCAGACCCACTTTAGCTCGGTGGTGAGACTTTCGTAGCCGTTCTCCCTCTCGAAGATCCAATCCTGACAGGACTCCTCCTCTGAGGCAACGCCAGTGCCATTAACCACCTCCGAAAGAAGAGTGCAGGAGGTGTGCGATACGTTGGAGTAAATGGATCTCAGCTCCTCGGCACTCAAGCCCATCAAGTCATCGTGGGAGCACCTGAGGAGGAAATTATATTTAAAGTCATTTAGAATTAAGTACTGATTTTATTTCAAATATAAAATCAACGAAATCACTTTAAAAAAAATTAGAGCCACTAATATGTTTTTATGCATATTTATTTTTCATTTTAGTCAATTATATAAACAACTGATTTTACTTAAAAATTCAGGCAAGAAACATATGGCAAAAAAATGATATTTTGTCGACTTTTTTTTGTACTAATTCAGTATTGTTTAAGAGATATTTTTAATTTTAATTAACCGCACTTTAGAACCATTACTTACCAATGTTCTGGGGTAAAAGTAATGAGGGTCTGTGAGAAATAGTGCAAAGAGCTGAGTATATTGGTGTAGCCGTACAGAATTAGTAGGACAAACTGAAACCGTCCAAAGTTTCCGCACTTCTCAAGCACGCGATCGAAATCCATACTGATCTCTAAAGAATTTTACTTTTACTATTAACTTAGACACTTTGTTTATGTGGACAGCGCGTTGAATCTTCCAAGAAAAGAGTCAACTACATTCTGCCTGTACGAACAGTATTTTGACGCCCAACTTGGATCGGCAGCCGCCTTATATAGTATAAAGATGTAGGCGTCGCCCCTGATTAGGATGGGTAATTAGTAACACCGAGAGATTGGGCTAGGCAATCTCTGTCGCTTTTTTGGGGTGTGTGCCGATGATAAGAGGCTGAGACCAGAGCAAACATTCAGTCGAACAGGTGAACGAACAACCCTACACAGTAGATGTTTGTTTACCCCGCATAAAATTAAAATTTACAGACAATCAACACAGCTTCAACAAGCACTAAGGAGGGATATTTTTTCAAACTATATAAAAAATGGCCTTGATTTCTAGATGCCATATAAACATTTCATCAAAGAAATGCGTCTTCATCCGCTTATCAGGCATTTAACTTGGTCACTCGAACGGAGTTTCTCGAAAATTTTGGCTTGTTGACTTTGCCTTAGATTTATAGCAGATTTAGCCACTGCTGTGCTGTAAGTCACGCCTGAAATGGAATCTTTTTAAAGCGGGGGATTACCGGATGCCCGGATTCTTTGTTTGTCGCCTGACACTTTAATGGGAGGCCGTTTAGAGATATAGATTATATATAGTATAGATTACAGGTCTGCTTTTCGGAGGCGCCAAACGAAGCCTCTCAAAAGTGCAATGAAAGTAGGCTTATCTCGCCGGGTACTAAAAGTTCCGGAACCATCGGCGTGATCTATATAAGTCATGCCCTAGACAAGTGATACTTGTGTTTAAACAAGCCAAATTAGCGTCTGTAAGTGGACACTACACAACCTAATGGATGTCTGAGTCTGGGATTAAAGGGGTCTGAATTCCAGAAATGCGATCAGTATATGATGAAATTGGCTACTTTTCGTTTTATCCGAAACCATAAAATCTGAGCTCATTGTCTTAGTAGCGTAATTTCTACTGCCGCCCATAAAAATTAAGTGATCCGTAAACATGTTTTGTTATTATTCTGTATTCATGGGTTTAGGTTTTATTATATATTAAATACATTTATTATAACTAGGTACTTTGTAATTTAGCTGGCTGACTCCAGCTGAGATTCGGCTTCTTTTGTCAGTTTCCGTGAAAAGCAGGGAAAGTAATACCATTTTTCGCCCTTGGCAAAGACCTCGCCCTCCTCGAGAGTCTGTGGAAGTTGCCTGCAGGATAAATTTTATATATATTGAAAGAGTCACATTAATTTTTATAAAGAAACTTACTTGTGCAATGTCTCCGGAAGAGTCAGGCAGAAACAACCGCCAATGACGAGCAGGAAGCTAATCAAGAGCGAGGGCAGTGGCTTGTAGAAAGTGCCCAGGTAGATTATGTACGAGCTGAAGAACCCGAAGGCATTGCCCACCACATGGATGTTGGCCACCCCTCGTCCTCGCACACTGGTTGGAATAATTTCAGCCGCGTACTGGGCCTCCGCATCGTAGGCCACCACCGCTCCGAATCTCGCGAGGCACACCATGAAGCCCAGGAGAACGGAGTAATTCGCAGGATCCAGAGTGCCCACCAGGTAACCAGTGGCAGCCGTGATGATGGCACCCACAAACAGAGAGGCACAGGCCATGCCCTTGCGTCCGATCTTGTTTTGGAACAGGATAATGGTGAGACCACCGGGCAGGACGACAAATCCTGAGTAGGAGAAGAGCTTGAAAGGCGATATGCCCACGCCTTCAACGTTACGACTCAGGATGTCGAATGCAATTGTGATGATCACTCTGAGAAAATATAAAGGCAATTAAACCAATTTTTAACACACCATTATCGTTTCAACTCACGATTTTATCAATAGAATTAGTGTGAACTTTCTCAGTCTTGGAGTCCTCAGCATGCCCATAAATGTGTCCTTGGACTTCTTTTCCGAACTGTTTAACTTCTCGCGATAGTGCTTGATGAACTCATCGAAAACCGAGTCCTCCACTTGGCGTCCGTTGAACTTGGCGACGCTTTTTAGATTGCTAACTGCCTTGTCGAACTTCCCCTTAGTTAACAGCCACTCGACGCTTTCATGGAGGCAAACTGGGAAGATCAGCATTCCCAGGGCTGGAAGAGAGGCCGCCCATAGGTAACTCCTCCAGCTGCCTAACCAAATGGCCATCCAGGGCGAGATCATCAGGCCCACTGAGTAGAAAACGCCCAAAATGATATTCAGACCGAAGGTGCGGTGCTGTGGGCTCAAGTACTCGAAGACTGCAAAGTTGAGTGGTTATGTATAGTGAAAAATATTATGGATCCAGTAACCTACCCAAAATGTACATCAGGACATACTGAGTGTCCATAGAGAGACCGGAAATAAAGCGGGTGAAGGAGAACCAGGGAAGATCTCCCACGAAGGAGGTGAAGAAATCACCAGAGGCTCCAGTCAAGGTCGACAGAACGCAGGCAGGCAGACGTCCTATGCGATCGGCCAGATATCCGAAGAATATGCTGCCCAGGGCGGAGCCGATGAAGAAGAAGGACTGACCCACCGCCAGTTTGTAGGCATCGTCGCAGACCCAACCGAGCTGTGTTCAATATTTCAGACATCAGTGTTTAGATACCAAATGCCTTTTCTACTTTTGGGCTGAGACTTACCTCTGTAGTAACGCTCTCGTAGTTGCTTTCCCTTTCGAAATCCCATGAGTTGCACTTGTAGTCCCGAAAAGAGGACAGATCTTCATCGTATTGAATGACACTGCAGGCCAACAGTGAAGTCGAATTCGGTTGGAAGTTTTCTTTTGGTGCAGAGCAACTAAAAATAAAAGGAAACAAATGTAATTAGAGTAAGTGAGGAGAGAAACAGTTTTTTTTCTGAATTTAATACAAAAATGTTCATTTTTGTTTTGTTTTTAAAATAAATATTATTGTTTTTAGTTTCTATTTTATTGTTGAGATTTCCGCTCACCTGTGCGAAGGCGTAAAACTAATAAGTGTCTGTGAAAAGTAGTGCAGCGAGGATACTATATTTGTGTACCCATAGAGACCCAACAGCAGGATTTGGTATGGACCAAAGTTTCCACACTTTTCCAGGACACGCTGGAGATCCATTTCGCCACAAGAACCTTCCCTGATCGCAAACGAACAACTTATGCCAATGGAGGGTCCAAGCAGCTGGTATATGTACATATACTCGATTCGGGCGCTGGCTATATAATGCTAATACTGTGCAAACACAGAATATCTACTGCTAGTTTATCTCACACCGGGGCATGAGGAAGAAAGAAAGCTTTTGAACCATTTCCGACGTCTGGCTACTGGTTGGCGTGTGGAGAGTTTCGTTTGGGTCCCATGGGGTGATTATTAATGTGACGCCCGCACAGCATAAGTATGCCCTGGAATTATCTTTACGGGCGTTATACGACCCACTAAACTGTTGCCGTCTGGCAAATAGATACAAGTGAATCTGAGCAAACAATGTCTCGTTGGTGTTACACAGATTTTTAGACCGATGTATTCAATAAGAACTTTAAGTTCTAATAACTTAAATATAAAGACTTTTTTCGACAACCTATTACTTTTTATCGATGTGTTGACTTATAACCATTGACTTTTTCTGTCGATAAATGTAAATTAATGCAATCTGAATATTTCCTTTGAAAAATTATATAAAAGAAGCCAGACTAGAGCTGGCAAAAACATCATAAAACATCTTAACTAATTTCCACTTGAAGTATGAGCTATATAGCTTTAGTCAGGAGACACTTATTTCAAAACAAATACATCGTGTTACAAATATTAAACAAAAAACGCCAGACACATTTAAACGTCTTCAAGGTGATTGTGGGCGTTATAGGGTCGGAAACGCTTCCTTCTACCTGTTACATACTTTTTATTCTCCCTTCTATTCCTTTTTACTCTACGGTTTACGGGTATAAAAATGATATAAAAGAACCTAGTCCTTGAGCAGGCTTAAAACATCATGGGGGTGTCACAGAAATCTCTTCCAACCAAAATTTCCACATGATTGTCAATATTTCCTTTAATAAATACTAGACTCTAGATCTTGGGCTGACTAAAAACCCATATTTTCCACAAGAAATATGAGCTACATATTTTTTGTGCAAGACAAAAAAGTTACAATAAAACCATTGTTATATTCTTGAGCAACCTTAGTATATCTGGTCAAAGGAAATTTCCCCTTATCCACGTGCCAAAGAATAAGGTGGATTTATTTTGTTTGAGTAATCTTTATAACAATTTTTCAGGTGCCACTAAAGTCTGAACAATCCAAAATAAAGCCCAAAAGCTAGAAAGATGTCTGGGTTTGGGATTTAGCAGATCGGATTTCTAGAAATGCGATCAGAACATGATGAAATCGGGTTAGTTTATTAGTGTCCGAAACCATATAACAAGTAATTCATGTCTTAGCAGCACTTATCTACTGCTACCCATAAAAATTAAGAGAGCAGTAAACATATTATCATGTTGTTTGCATTCTTTTGTATGAAAAGATAATTCTTTTATTATATACATTTATATTATACATTTATTGTAACTCCTTTGTAATTTCGTTGGCTGACTCCAAGTGAGATCCTGAATTATTTGTTTGCTGTCTGCGCGAAAAGCAGGGAAAGAAATACCATTTCTCGCCCTTGGCAAACACCTCGCCCTCCTCGAGAGTCTGTGGAAGTTGTCTGCGGGATAAATTAGATAAATATTAATGAATCGGATGATACTAGTCAGCAAAAACTTACTTGTGCAGTGTCTCCGGAAGAGCCAGGCACAAACAACTGCCGATTAGGAGAACGAAGCTGATCAGAAGAGATGGCAGCGGTCTGTAGAAAGTTCCCAAGTAGATTACGTAGGAGCTGAAGAAAGCGAATGCGTTGCCCACCACATGGATGTTGGCCACTCCACGTCCTCGCACACTGGTTGGAATGATTTCCGCCGCGTACTGGGCCTCCGCATCGTAGGCCACCACCCCTCCGAATCTTCCCAGGCTCACCATTATTGCCAAAAGAACGGAATAGTTCGCTGGATCGAGGGTAGCCACCAAGTAACCAGTGGCCGCCGTAATGATAGCACTCACAAACAGAGAGGCACAGGCCATGCCCTTTCGTCCGATCCTGTTCTGGAACAGGATAATGGCAAGTCCACCTGGCAAGACGGCAAATCCTGAGTAGGAGAAGAGCTTGAAGGGCGATATACCCAAGCCCTCCACATTACGACTCAGGATATCGAAAGCAATCGTGACGATCACTCTGAGGAAATATAAAGAAAGCTTAAAATTAATCATATATCATCTTCATTTAAACTCACGATTTTATCAATAGAATTATTGTAAACTTTCTCAGTCTGGGAGTCCTAAGCATGCCCATAAATGTGTCATTGGACTTCCTTAGAGAACTTCTTAGCTTCTCGCTATAGTGCTTGATAAAATCATCGAAAACATAGTCTTCCACTTGGCGTCCGTTGAACTTAGCGACGCTTTTTAGATTGCTAACTGCCTTGTCGAACATCCCCTTAGTTAACAGCCACTCGACGCTTTCATGGAGGCAAACAGGGAAGATCAGCATACCCAGGGCTGGAAGTGAGGATGCCCATAGGTAACTCCGCCAGTTGCCCAGCCAAATGGCAATCCAGGGGCAAATCATCAGGCCAAAGCAATCGAAGACTCCCACGATTATGTTTAGCCCGAAGGTGCGGTGTTTTGGGCTCAAGTACTCGAAAACTGCAAGAGTTTTTATTTTTACTTTCTGCGTAAAAGTGCAAGCTCAGTTTACATACCCAAAATGTACATCAGGACGTACTGAGTGTCGATAGAGAGACCGGAAATAAAGCGGGTGAAGGAGAACCAGGGTAGATCTCCCACGAAGGAGGTGAAGAAATCACCAGAGGCTCCAGTCAAGGTCGACAGTACGCAGGCAGGCAGACGTCCTATGCGATCGGCCAGATATCCGAAGAATATACTGCCCAGGGCGGAGCCAATAAAGAAGAAGGACTGACCCACCGCCAGTTTGTAGGCATCGTCGCAGACCCACTCGAGCTGTGTACAATATTCCGGACATCAGTGTTTGTTTGGGTTGTCTACCTTATTACCTCTGTGGTAACGCTCTCGTAGTTGCTTTCCCTTTCGAAATCCCAGGAGGTGCACTTGTAGTCCCGAAAAGAGGACAGATCTTCATCGTATTGGATGACACTGCAGGCCAACAGTGAAGTTGAATACGGTTGGAAGTTTTCTTTTGGTGCAGAGCAACTAAAAATAAAATAAACCAATATAATTAGAGTAAGTGAGGAGAGAAACAGTTTTTTTCAGAATTTAATACAAAAATGTTCATATTTGTTTTGTTATTAAATTATTTTTTATAAAATAATGTTATTCTGTTTAGTTTAAATCTTATTGTTGAGATTTCCGCTCACCTGTGGGAGGGCGTGAAACTAATCAGTGTCTGTGAAAAGTAGTGCAGCGAGGATATTATATTAGCGAACCCAAAGAGACCCAGCAGCAAGATTTGGTATGGACCAACGTTTCCACACTTTTCCTGGTATATGTACCGTATAGTCGATTCGGGTGATGGGTTTATAATGCTAATACTGTGCAAAAACAGAATATCTACAGATAACACTAGGCAGCATCAAAAATTAACCTCGATTAATGCTATATTTTTGGATTCGTTACGAATTCCCAAGTTAAACTGCGTTTTCCAAAGAGTTCCCCGACGCAAGGATTCTTAGCAAAAGGACCTCAAAGTTCGAAAAATGCTGAAATTGACCAACTTTGCGGAGCTCTCAGAGGCAAATGGATGCATGGTTTGATTCGATGTTAAAGTTTTTAAAAGATACACCCTTTATCTTTTAAACCCCATACTTAAAAAATTTGTAAGATTTTTTTTAAGGAAGAAACAAATTCTAGAAAACATAGTCAAAAAAACATAAAAGTATACAGCTGCGGTCAAAATGGTAGTAGTGTTGCCGCCCTGTGTATTTAAAAGTTTGTTGTTGTAATTGATCTTTTCCTGGTAATATTGTATTGATTATAATTTTACTATTAGACTAATTGGATACAATTACACAAGGCGGCGACACTGCTACTATTTTGACCGCAGCTGTATGTTTTTCAGTTTTTAGACTATGTTTTTTGGAATTTATTTCTGCCTTAAAAAAAATCCTTAAATTATTTTATGTATGGGGTTTGAAAGATAAAGGGTGTATCTTTTAAAAAACTTTAACTTCAAACCAAGCCATGCATCCATTTGCCTCTGAGAGCTCCGCAAAGTTGGCCAATTTCAGCATTTTTCGAACTTTGAGGTCCTTTTGCTAAGAATCCTTGCGTCGGGGAACTTTTTGGAAAACGCAGTTTAACTTGGGAATTCGTAACGAATCCAAAAATATAGCATCCATCGAGGTAAATTTAAAAAGCACTAAAAATGCTGCACAGTGTAATTTATCTCACACCGGGGCACAAGGAAGATAGAAAGCTTTCAAACCATATCCGACGTCTAGCTTCTAATTGGCGTGTGGAGAGTTTCGGTTGGGTTTCATGGGGTGATTAATAATGTGACGCCCGCACATAAGAATGCCCTGGAATTATCTTTATGGGCGTTATAGGATCCACTAAACTATTGCCGTCTGGCAAATAGATACAAGTGAATCTGTGCAAACCACTTCTCTTTGGTGTTACACAGATTTGTAGACCGATTTATTCAATAAGATCTTTAAGTTCTAACAGTGGCGGATCCAGGATTGTTTTGTGGGGGGTGATATTAGAATAATTTTTAAGAAAGTTTCTTAAAGAAACTTATTTCACATCGATACTTTAACCAACTTCAATGTAAAACAATGCAATGTCAATATTTCCTTTAACAAAATACTAAAAGCGCCTTGACCTTGAACTGCCTAAAAAATTCATAACCTAAATATATATCACCAAACCAATATTTCACAACAATACCATTGGTTATTTTCCTTACCAAGCTTACTAACTTGGGTTCCACGGAAATTTCCCCTTATCCACTTGCCATAGAATAAAAGGGATTTATTTCGTTAGAGTAATCTATTTAACTAATTCTTTAGACGGGTGCCACTTAAGTCTAAGCAAACGCCTAAAAGAGTCTTTCCAGTGCTACCCATAAAAATTAAGAGACCCGTAAATATGTTTTGATATTGTTGTATGAAAAGTTATGCTTTTATTATACATTAAATACATTTACTTTGTAAATTCGTTGGCTGACTCCAACTGAGATCCTGAGTTATTTGTTTGCTGTCTGCGCGAAAAGCAGGGAAAGAAATACCATTTCTCACCCTTGGCGAATACCTCGCCCTCTTCAAGAGTCTGTGGGAGTTCCCTGCAGGAAAAATTAAATAAATACAAATGGATTAGAGGATAGTAGCCGACAAACACTTACTTGTTAAGGGTTTCTGGAAGAGCTAGGCACAAACAACTGCCGACTAGAAGAACGAAACTGATCAGGAAAGACGGCAGAGGCCGGTAGAAAGTTCCCAAGTAGAGGATGTAGGAGCTGCAGAAGGCAAAGGCGTTGCCGACCACATGGATGTTGGCCACTCCTCGTCCTCGCACACTCGTTGGAATAATCTCAGCCGCGTATTGGCCCTCCGCATCGAAGGACACCACCGCTCCGAATCTTCCCAGGCACACCATGAATCCCAGAAAAACGGAATAGTCCGCTGGATCGAGGGTGGCCACCAAGTAACCAGTGACCGCCGTGATTATGGCTCCCACAAGGAACGAGGCACAGGCCATGCCCTTTCGTCCGATTCTGTTCTGGAACAGGATAATGGTGAGTCCTGCGGGGAGGTAGCAGAATCCCGAGTAGGAGAAGAGCTTGAAGGGCGAAATGCCCACTCCTTCCACATTACGACTCAGGATGTCGAAGGCAGTTGCAACAATTATTCTAAGGAAATGTTATAGAAGTTAAAGATAAGATTAAAGTTAAGAATAGAATACATCTTTATAATTTTACTCACGATTTAACCAATAGAATAAGGGTAAACTTTCGCAGTCTTGGTGTCCTTAGCATTCCCATAAAAGTATCCGAAGATTTATTCTGCGAATTGTTCAACTTCTCGCGATAGTGATTAATGAACTCATCGAAAACAGAGTCCTCCACTTGGCGACCGTTGAACTTGGCGACGCTTTTTAGATTGCTAACTGCCTTGTCGAACTTTCCCTTGGTCAACAGCCACTCGGCGCTTTCATGGAGGCAAACAGGAAACAGCAACGATCCCAGAGCTGGAAGAGAGGCCACCCACAGGTAACTTCGCCAGTTGCCCAACCAAATGGCAACCCAGGGGGAAATCACCAGGCCAAAGCAATAGAAGACTCCCAAGGTTATGTTTAGCCCGAAGGTGCGGTGTTTTGGGCTCAAGTACTCGAAAGCTGAAAGGATTCTTATATTTACTTTCTGGTTTAAAAAGCAAGTTCAGTATACGTACTCAAAATGTACATCAGGACATACTGGGTATCCATAGAGAGGCCGGATAAAAAGCGGGTGAAGGAGAACCAGGGCAGATTTCCCACGAAGGAGGTGAAGAAATCACCAGAGGCTCCAGTCAAGGTCGACAAAACACAGGCAGGCAGTCGTCCTATGCGATCTGCCAGATATCCGAAGAATATGCTGCCCAGGCCGGAGCCAATGAAGAAGAAGGACTGACCCACCGCCAGTTTGTAGGCATCGTCGCAGACCCAACCGAGCTGAGTTCAATATTTCGGCCATCAGTGTTAAGTCACTAAGCGAGTTTTCTACTTTTGGGCTGAAACTTACCTCTGTGGTAATGCTCTCGTAGTTGCTATCCCTTTCAAAGTCCCAAGATGAGCACTTGTAGTCTCGAAAAGAGGACAGATCTTCATCGTATTGAATTATATTGCAGGCCAACAGGGATGTGGAATAATTGGAATTCTGCAGGAAGTTTTCTTTTGGTGCTGAGCAACTAAGATAATAAAATTTTAATGTGGCATTATAACAAAAATTATCATCTATATCTAAAAAGAATTTGTAAGTTTTTAGAAAAACTCTACCTGTTAAATTATAAACAATATTGTGTTGCCTATTAGTAATTAACATTAATCAAGCGTCTTGCATACTATTTAAGCCACATCGTATTTAAAGTGCATCTTTATGTTAATGTGTTTTTTTGCGAAATATAACTTGTATATTATTAATGTTTATTTATATAATACCCTTGGTTACGATTTACTGTTCTGAATTTCATCACTTATTTTCAAAGTGAATGCGAATTTCCCGCTCACCTGTGCGATGGCGTAAAGCTAATGATGGTCTGCGAAAAATAGTGCAGCGAGGAGATAATGTTCGCGTAGCCGTAGAGACCCAGCAGAAGGATTTGATAGGGGCCAAAGTTGCCACATTTATCAAGGACACTTTGGAAATCCATTTTGGAATACGAAACCGCAGCGATCGCGAAACAGCGACTGATGCCGACTAAGGGGTTCGAGCCGCTAATATATAGCCAATTCTGGGTGCTGGCTATAATACACCTCAAACACTGAATACCTGCTGCTAGTTTATCTAAAAATAGGGGAAAATAAAGCGTTTGAACGTGTGGTGAGTTTCGTGTGGATCCCATTGGGTAATTATTAATGTGACGCCCGCACAGCATAAGTTTGCCCTGGATTTATCTTTACGGCAGTTATACGGCACACTAAACTGCTGATGTCTGGTAAATAGATACAAGTGAATCTGTGCAAACAATGTTTTGTTGGTGTTACACAGGTTTTTAGAGCGATATATTCAAAAATAAAAATATAAAGACTTCTTTCTACTCAATATTACAATCGATAAATATATAGCACTGCAATTTGAATATTTCCTTTAAGAACCCAGACCTTGAGCAGGTGAAATACATCATAAAAAATGTTAGCTTAAGTCCAGCTATATAGTTTTAGTCATAAGACACTTATTTCACAACGGTTCCAAAGTATTACAAAGATTACACAAAACAATCAACCTTTCCAAGCGACAAAAAGCAGCAATGGTATTACTTTTTACTACAAGCAAATAATTATGTTTATAATGTTAGTCACATCGATTTTTAGAATCTTTATATTATTTATTTAGAACGTAATAACATTAGGTTTTATTAAAATTATTAAAAATTTTGTCAAAAAGCAGCTAGTCCTTAAATACTACCTTAGCAAATATAGACTCTATAGTTTTTATCACCAGGCAAATATTTCACAACACAACCCTGTTTATATATTTTAACTCGGGTCAAAGAAAATTTCCCTTTATCCTGGTGTTATTAAATACGGGGAATTTATTTCCTTGGTGCCACTAAAGTCGGAACAATCAGAATATAAGCCCAAAAGATAGATCCAGATATTTAGGGTCTAGGATTTAGCAGATCTGATTTCTAGAAACGTGATCAAAACGTGATGAAATCGGGTAAGTTTATTATTTTCCGAACCAATATAACTAAAAATTCATGTCTTAGCAGCGCTTTCCACTGCGACCCATAAAAGTTAAGCGACCAGTAAACATGTTTTGATATTTTTTGTATTCTTTTGTAAAAAAAAGTTAATGCTTTTATTATAAATCTAATACATTTATTATAACTACTTTGTAATTTCGTTGGCTGACTCCAACTGAGATGCTGACTTCTTTGTTTGCTGTCTGCGTGAAAAGCACGGAAAGAAATACCATTTCTCGCCCTTGGCAAATACCTCGCCCTCCTCGAGAGTCTGTGGGAGTTGCCTGCGGGTTAAATTAGATAAATATTAATGAATTGGAGGTTACTAGTCAGCAAAAACTTACTTGTGCAGTGTCTCCGGAAGAGCCAGACACAAACAACTGCCGATTAGGAGAACGAAACTGATCAGAAGAGATGGCAGCGGTCTGTAGAAAGTTCCCAAGTAGATTACGTAGGAGCTGAAGAAAGCGAATGCGTTGCCCACCACATGGATGTTGGCCACTCCACGTCCTCGCACACTAGTAGGAATGATTTCCGCCGCGTACTGGGCCTCCGCATCGTAGGCCACCACCGCCCCGAATCTTCCCAGGCTCACCATAAATCCCAGAAGAACCGAATAGTTGGCTGGATCAAGGGTGGCCACCAAGTAACCAGTGGCCGCTGTGATGATGGCTCCCACAAGGAGCGAGGCACAGGCCATTCCCTTTCGTCCGATCCTGTTCTGGAACAGGATAATGGCGAGACCGGCGGGCAGGTAGCAAAATCCCGAGTAGGAGAAGAGCTTGAAGGGTGATATTCCCACGCCTTCTACATTTCGACTCAGAATATCGAATGCAATTGTGATGATCACTCTGAGAAAAAGTGTTAAAAGTTAAAAATATTAAAATAATATCTACGTATAAAATTTAACTCACGATTTTATTAATAGAATAATGGTGAACTTTCTCAGTCTTGGTGTCCGAAGCATTCCCATAAAAGTGTCCGAAGATTTATTCTGCGAATTGTTCAACTTCTCGCGATAGTGCTTGATGAACTTATCAAAAACAGAGTCTTCCACTTGGCGACCGTTGAACTTGGCGACGCTTTTTAGATTGCTAACTGCCTTGTCGAACTTTCCCTTGGTCAACAGCCACTCGGCGCTTTCATGGAGGCATACAGGGTAGAGCAGCATGCCCAGGGCTGGAAGAGAGGCAGCCCATAGATAACTCCGCCAGTTGCCCAGCCAAATGGCAATCCAGGGGGATATCATCAGGCCAACGCAATAGAAGACTCCCAGGATTATGTTAAGCCCGAATGTGCGGTGTTTGGGGCTCAAGTACTCGAAAACTGCAAGAATTTTTATTCTTATTTTCTGAAATTAGTGGAAGCTCAATTTACTTACCCAAAATATACATCAGGACATACTGTGTGTCCATAGAGAGACCGGAAATAAAGCGGGTGAAGGAGAACCAGGGTAGATCTCCCACGAAGGAGGTGAAGAAATCACCAGAGGCTCCAGTCAAGGTCGACAAAACACAGGCAGGCAGACGTCCTATGCGATCGGCCAGATATCCGAAGAATATGCTGCCCAGGGCGGAGCCAATAAAGAAGAAGGACTGACCCACCGCCAGTTTGTAGGCATCGTCGCAGACCCACTCGAGCTGTGTACAATAAATAAAAATAAAGAAATAATAATAATATTCCAAACATCAGTTTTTGGACACCAACTGCCTTTTCTACTTTTGGGTTGAGACTTACCTCTGTAGTAACGCTCTCGTAGTTGCTTTCCCTTTCGAAATCCCAGGAGGAGCATTTGTAGTCTCGAAAAGAGGACAGATCGTCATCGTATTGAATTATATTGCAGGTCAACAGGGATGTGGAATAATTGGAATTCTGCTCGAAGTCTTCTTTTGGTAACGAGCAACTGAAAAAATAAAGTGTCCGGGTTAAAAAATATTTTATAAATTAACATATATTTTAAAAATAATTTTTTGAAATAGGCTTGTTGATAATTGCCAAATTGTAAATATTTTTATTTGCTTATCAATACGTTTTATTAATATTTGCAGCGCTCATACATATGAATTCACACTTATAGTATTTAAAATGCATCTTTGATCGCAAAATATCACTTTAATGGTTTGGCTTGCTTGCGGGATTAAACTTGAACTTAAAATTTTCCATTGGGCCTTGCTATGTTTATTTAGAAGTGACCCTTGGTTCTGATATACTGTGCCGAATTCCATCACTTCTTTTCAGAGTGAATGGGAATTTTCCGCTCACCTGTGCGATGGCGTAAAACTAATGATGGTCTGTGAAAAATAGTGCAGCGAGGACACGATGTTCGTGTATCCGAAGAGACCCAGCAGAAGGATTTGATAGGGGCCGAAGTTGCCGCATTTTTCGAGGACACTCTGCAGCTCCATTTCGGCACACGAAACCTCTGCGATCGCAAAACAGCGACTGATGTCGACAAAGGGGTCCGAGCAGCTGGTATATAGCCGATTCTGGGTGCTGGCTATAATGCGCTAATACACTGCAAACACTGAATACCTGCTGCTAGTTTATCTCACACGGGGGCATTAGGAATAGGAAAAAAGAAAGCGTTTGAACAATTTCCGACGTCTGGCTTCTGTTTGGCGTGCGGGGAGATTCGGCCGAGTCCCATGGGATTTTTATTAAGGTGACGCCCGCAGAAGCATAACAAAGCGCTGGGTTATCTTTACGGGAGTTTTACAATTCCAATATACCTAAAGATTCTGGCAAATAGAAACAAGTAAATCCCATTAAACAATGTCGCGGCGATCTTACACAGACTTACAGTTTGGTACATTCAATTAGAATTTCGGCTATCGTGATCTTTGAGTTCTGATTAAATTTCTATACATTTTTCATAGCCCGTTGAAAACTGCATCCGCTTTTCTCTACTTCTGTTTTCTAACTGACTGAATCGAAAAAAATCTAGAACACTCTTTTTTCGTCCATTATAGTTTCTGTAGTCTTTTTTCTTCTAATCACTCAGACAAAATTAGTTTTAAATGAGCTCACCCAAAAAAGTGTCTTAGTAAAGTTAGTTAAAGTGTCTTTTTACTTTTTTTGTTTACCCAGTGACGAAAAGGTGAGTGGTTTGCTATTTTTAGTCAGTGGAGTAGTAATCGAAGCTCATATGACTTCGTTTTTTCACTGGCTTTCGTCACACATGGCCTTTGGAACTTTCAAAGTAACAACATATTACAATATAGTTGTAGGTTGTATATGAACTAAATTAAAAACATCCGATTAAACATCCTCTTAAAAATTGTAAAACGATTTAAAGAAAACCTCAAGAGATATTGAAAACGAGGTGAGACGGAAATCACTGAGAAGTGATTTCAACTGCTCCGTCTGACTGTTTTCTCGACTTGTCTCTAAAGTTGATCGAGCACTTGAATGTGTAATCATTTTTGTGCAAGCAAAGATATTTAGATATTAAACAGACTTACAGTTTGGATCATTCAACTAGAACTTTCGCTATTGTGATTCTTATCAATTTAACATTTATCTGTAAAATATTTATAAATTCGTTTAAGAATCTTGATTTTTATTATATTATTTTATTGATTGCTCACTTATCTTTCGTACACATTTGGTAATCTTATTCTACAAATGTATTCTAAGTCTTTGATACCGTTGCTAGTTTAATATACACAAACAATTTGGTGGGCTACACAGAAAACTTCAACTGCGGTGATAAAACATATTTTCAGTAGTGACCTAAAAGTAGACGTTCGATTCCGTTGAATGCGAGTACATCTTGACGTTTTGGGTATCCAGAGTGGCGGCTGATTGGGTGCGTTTCTCCAGAAAACTGAAGGTGTACCAACGATCGTTCTTCCCGAAATTCTCCCCATCCTCCAGCGAAGTGGGCAGAGTGCGATGAAGGGTTTCGGGCAGCAGGAGGCAGAGACACGCCCCCAGCAGGGACAGAACGCCCAGGATAATTTCGGGAAGCGGCGAGAAGATGCACCTCGTGTACAGGATGTAGGCGCTGAAGAAGGTGAAGGCATAGCCGGCCACATGGACTGCAGCCACTCCCTGGCCTCGAACGCAGGTGGGGATCAACTCGGTGGCATACTGGGCTCCCGAATTATAGGCCACTGTCACTCCAAAGCGGCCCACGACGGAGAGGCTAACCAGCAAAGTGGTGGCTAAAAAATTTAAATTTTTACATTAATAAAATTTTACAAAAAATTCATAAAGTGTAACAACAAAAAATGTTAATGTTCGTAAGGAGACTAATATAAGGATTCTAAAAATAATTGATTTTTTCTTCAAATTTTGGAGCTAAGACTTTTCAAAATTCAATTGGCTTGAGACAAATTAATAAATGAGAAAATTTTGAAATGTATTTAAAGTGTGTAAAAACAAAAATTTCATCTGGCTTTTCGTCGCGATTCTGGTTAAATAAAGAAAAAGATACATAAATTAAAAAAAAAAAGTTTCAAAACTATTTACCCGGGCTATTTTCTATTTTTTTTGTTAAAATAAAATATTGAATATACATAAATCTCCCGTCATTAAACTCCCGCCATTAAATTCCCATAACTCAACTCTGCAATATAACCCCCCCAACTGATCGGGTTGAACTCACTCTTATCCGATGCCGAGGCGGCGAAGATGATGCCCCCGGTAACCGAGATGAAAATGCCACTCAGCAGCAGAGAGGCGGAGGCCATCGCCTTGCGGCCGATGCGATCTTGCAGGGCGATGATCAGTAGACAGGCGGGCAGAATTGCGGTGGCGCTCAGCGAGAACATCAGAAATGGCGAAATGCCAAGGCCCTGAACATTTCGCGATACGGCATCGTAGCACAGGGTGATGACCATGCTGCGCGAGGGTGTTGTATTGGATATGAGTAGTATTCATCTCGAATCAAATCTTGAATCTTTAACTCACGATTTGAAGAAGAGGATGAGCGTGTTGCGGCGCAGGCGGGGCGTCTTGAACAGGTCAAACAGATGGGGCGAGGCCTTCTGGTTCTGCTGGCTGAACTTGCACTCCTCGACGAACTCCTCGTAGGCGCTCTCCTCCACCTGCCGTCCATTAATCTTGGCCACCCGCTTCAGGCAGACAACGGCCCTGTCGTACTTTTGCTTCGAGATCAGCCACTGTATGCTTTCCGGTACAATAAAGTAGAAGAATGGAACCACTAGCAGGGGCAGGGAGGTGACCAGCAGGAATCCATGCCAGCTGCGCATGAGCACGGCGATCCAAGGGGCGGCCATGGAGCCCAAACAGTAGAACAAACCAATGCAGATGCTCAGGCCAAGGGTTCGCACTGAGGGACGCATGTACTCCATAACTGAAAGAAATATTTGATATTAATAATATCATTTAATACTATAACTCTAAAAACTTACCCAAAATATACATCATCACAAAGTTGCTGTCCGTCGCAATGCCCGAGATCATGCGAAAAATACAGAAGAGCGTGACATTGGTGCTCCAGATGGTCAGTAGATTGCCGGTCATGGCAATCAAATTGGCTACAATCAGAATGGGAAGACGTCCAACCAGGTCCGCCAGGTAGCCCAGCACCATGGAACCGACCACAGAGCCCACAAAGAACATGGACTGGCCAAGAGTGAGTTTCCAGGCATCTTCGCACACCCAGTCCATTTCGCTGGGAAAGCTCTGGTAGCCCATGTAAAGCTCGTAGTCATAGCTGTAGCAGGTATTTGAACTAGTGGAATTCCTGTTCAGAGGCAGGCAACTTGACTCAGCCGGCGGCTCAAAGCTGGCGGGCAAACCGTCTGCACACCTGGGCGTATGAGCAATGCATTAAGTATACGACGCGATGGACAGCGAACTTGCGCATACGAACCAGTATTTGGGTACGAAGCTGATGATCGTCTGGGAGTAGTAGTGAAGGGCCGACAGCACGTTGATCAGACAGAAGAGCAGCATCTGCAGACGGCTGAAGTCGCCGCATTTCTCCAGTATTTTGTCCACCTCCAGCATTGTGTTCTTCCGCACTCGCACCACTTGCATCCACGTCTCACGTTTCTATCAGGGAATCGAGAAGAGCCTACGTCTCATCTTCGCCACGGCATCTGCGAGCCGCTTAATTGACTGCGTTGAATTTCTCTTAATTTCCAAAACCAATTAGTGCGCTCAGTGATTCCTGCCAGAACGAAATCAGAAATAATTCGTGTAAATTAGGTTTGACAGCTGGGGTCGCTCGTCAGATGTTTTTTATTTTTACAATAAGCCAACAAAAACTGGCTTTGGGTCGTTAAATCGCAGCTGTTCCAGTAGCCCTTTAAACTGAAATTATAGATATATTCAGTTAGTTTACTGGAGTATTCTGACAGAGAAACTTTTTGTTTTGCATGTATAATTCACTTATTTTCAAATTTTAGTGTTTTACAGATAACAAATTTAATACACGTAATAGAAATTTAAATCCAGCGAGTCTTAAAATGCACTATTTACGATATTTTTTTGTATTATTGCTTTATTACTGAAAGAATTTAATTCTTTCTTTGCGACACCATGAACATTTTCTGTAAATTGCTTAATAAAAGCAGAGATCAAAGCTCTGAATCTTTATTTCACATCACAATTATTTGTACACATTAATTCAAGAAAAATATAAAGTACAACGACTGTTGGACTCTTTTAAATTTATTAAATTTATTTGCGTTCTTTGGACTTGGACAAGCTTAGGTTGCCAGCAGATGCGTGATAGAATAAAATTCTTCATAAAATTTGCGATAAGGAACAGACTTTTGGCTGCATCCAAAACAACCTGCCGCAACTGAACTCTGAATATGTATAGTCACTGACCGGGAATTGCGCGTCTCGGGCGAAATTGCGATGTCAACCGCACGGAACGAAAGTAAAGTTTGATGTGGGGCTTTCGACTTGCCTGCAGTCGTATTTTTGTGAAAACGAAATTGCCCAATACACGAAAGATTTCTATATGAGAGTGTATCAATAGGGGAATACTCATTACTGACGGTTTTAAATCAAAATTTTGGAAAGTCATTAGCAGATTTGATTTTGTTTTATTACTTCTAACTTAAATATTTGGCATATATAGTTTTTCTAATTTTGAAGTGCTAGTATATACCCAATCTCCCGGGAACAAATAATTTTGGAGACGAATTGCCCATTTTAGGCCTTTGTTATTTCTGACTACTATGATGAGGAGATAAATATAGATTTTTGAGGTCGGTGATTGCAAACATGCAATGCTGTTTATTTACAGTTATTACAGCTACGATTGAATTTGTGACGTCAAATCAGGCATATTCATTTAAATTGCAAGCCGATTGACTTTTAGTATATGATATCATTACAAAAGGCTTTGTTTAACTTTGTCTGCAACTGATCTGTGTTATTGAATTAAAATATATAAATTAAAAGAATTTCTTTAAAACTTTTGACCGATTTCTTCATTATTAGTTGTTTGTTTGTGACAGACTAAGAATATAGTGTTTATTTAAAAAGCGTGATGTTTGGGTAATATCTGTAATCAGTGGTATTTCGTATAATTTTTGTGGTTGTCAATGTGTAAGGTGAAATTATCGTTTGAAACTAATAAACCTTTTGCATTTTACCCTTTTATAAGAATTATATTAAATGCAACATTCGAAAATATATTTAATCAGTCTTCGGGCAGGTTATTTTATCAGATGACAATGTGCCATGTACAATGATCTCTATAAAATAAATCCCTGTTCACTTCAGTCAGTCTTTCATTTCCAGTTATATACAATCATTGTTATTATTTTTTTCGATTTTGTGAAAGCAAGGGAAGTGCAGGAAGCTCTCGTTCAGGGCAAAGTTTTCCCCATCCGCCAGGGTTTCGGGCAGCTTCCTAATAAAAAAAGAAAGCCATAAATAATAAGACTAAAGTTATCTCAAAAAACCCACTTGTTCAAGGTCTCCGGCAAAGTCAGGCAAAGGCCGGCACCGAAGAACATGAGGCAGCTGATGAAGATCGAGGGGAGGGGCTTGTAGTAGTGGGCCAGGTAAATCACATAGAAGGCCAGTGAGCTGGAGGCCAGACCCACCACATGGATATTGGACACCGCCTGGCCGCGCACACTGGTCGGAATGATCTCGGCGGCATATTGGATCTCTGCATCGTAGGAAACGGTGGCTCCAAAGCGGCCAAGACCCACCATGATGGCCAGCAGCAGGGCGTTTTCCGTGGGATCCAAGTGGGCCAACATGAAACCCATCGTCGTGGTGATGAGTCCACCCACAAAAAGGGCCGAGCAGGCCATGCCCTTGCGACCGATCTTGTTTTGCAGCAGCAGGATGGCCACTCCAGCGGGCAGATAGACGATCGAGGTAAAGGAGAAAAGCTTGAAGGGTGAAGTACCTAAGCCCTCCATATTGCGATTGATCACATCACAAGAGAGTGTTATGATGACTCTACAAGGGAAGGGAGTGATTGAAATATTTTCTTATTTAGAAAAATAAAGAACCTACGATTTGAGCAGCAAAGTCAAAGTAAATCGACGCAGACGAGGAGTCATGAACATGGCTAGGAAAGTGTCCTTCTGGCCATTGAGCTTATACTCTCGCTGGGCTCTTTCGCGATAGTGCTTGACGAACTCATCGAAGACAGTCTCCTCCACTTGGCGACCATTAAACTTGGCCACCTTCTTCAGGCAAATCACCGCCTCCTCGTACTTCCTTTTGGTCAACAGCCACTGGGCACTCTCGCAGATCAGGAGAGGATATACAAGGACACCCAGAGCTGGCAAGGAAGCCAGCCAGAGATAGCGACGCCAGTTGCCAATCCAAATGGCCGCCCAGGGCGAGGTCATCAGTCCGAAGCAATAGAATATGGCCAGGATGATGTTGAGGCCGAAGGTTCGGCTTTTGGGGCTCAAGTACTCAAAAACTGTGGAATAAAAAATAATTTAAATTATTTTCTTTGAACTATTCAATGTTACTTACCCAAGATGTACATAAGATAGTACATGGTATCCGTGGACAATCCCGACATAAATCTGGAGAAGGCGAACCAGGGCAGCGTGTATACAAAGGAGGTGATAAAGTCACCAGTGGCTCCACACAAGGTGGCCATCAGAAGGGATGGCAGACGACCTATTTGATCAGAGAGATATCCAAAGATTATGGTGCCCAAAACAGAACCCATGAAGAAGAAGGATTGACCCACCGCCGGCTGGTGGGATTTGTCGCAGACCCATTTGAGCTGCAGATAAAAAGATATTAAATAAATAATAATACTTAATTAATGTTACCGATATTGTTTACCTCTGTTGTGATGCTTTCGTAGCCACTCTCTCTCTTGAAAATCCAATCCCTGCACTCACGCCCCTCTGCTACCACGCCCCTGCCATTGACCACACCCAAAAGGGGCGTGCAGGAAGAGTCGGAAATGTTTGAGTACACAGAGCGAAGCTCCTTCTCACTGAGACCTTGGAGGTCAATGTGGGAGCACCTGTATGGCGGAAGATTAGCTTAGATTCAGCGAGAGGTATTTAATCTATTACCAATGCTCGGGTGTAAATGTGATGAGGGTCTGCGAGAAGTAATGCAGCGACCCTAGAATATTTGTATAGCCGTAGAGCAGAAGGATGACCACTTGAAACCTCCCGTAGTTTCCACACTTGTCGAGAACCTCACTGAAATCCATTGTGACTTTTGGAGCGACTGACTATTTGCAACTCTCTTTCGGAACTGACCAGAAGCCTCGGTGAAGCTACTGTAGAAATAGCCATATATTTCTCTATAGCCATTTTTAACAACATGTTTCGCCTGGGCAAAACAGCTGGATGGGCCTTTAAGATTGAAGATATATTGCCAGCTGTGAGCCCTGTAACCGTGAAAATATGACCAGGAGATGTCACACCTATCGCGAATTTTTCGTCGTCACAATTTAAAATATCTCATTAAAATATTTTAAATACTTCCCATTCATTTTTTTGATTATCAATTAGTGGTTGGATTTCCTATTTGTACTTTCTTCAACCAGGCAACTATGTTGCATTAGCCTGACATTCTTGTTGATCAATTGCTTTGATCTTCTGGCTAAAAATAGTTAAAACAGATGACATCGACTGGGATTGCAGTTGGCACGACTTTGATTCTTTGCTATACTTAGTTGTCGCATAAACAGACTCGATGGTAACAACAGGGGTAAAACAATGCATGCAGCTGTCAATGGTTTTCCAGATGCCAGATACAAATTTGCGGCCATAAATTAAGCACACAAAACGGTAAACAGCGGAATTGTCGCAGACAGTTGGCTGTGAGAAGATGGAAAGGGTATTTTTTTTATGGGAAATCGAATTGGTTTAAACATTATTAAGGAAAATTGCTAGAAAAGTATGGTGGAATTGCAAATATTGTAGATAAGTCAAGAACAGTTGGAACATCATTAGAAAGACCTTTTATGAGAGTTTTCAAAATATATATTTATTTCGGATTTGAAATTTTAAGATATTTTACGAAAACTATTTACATATCTTTATTAAAAAGTCCTACCTATATAAATATTAACAAATTAACATGTATTAAACTTAACGAAATCTTATATAGTCGTCATGACGCTCTTTGAAGAGTATTATTAATGACATTATTTGCCTAGACTGTGACTGTATTTTTTCGGCCTGCTCTGTGGGCCAGACTAATGTGCCGACAGCGGCGCGTTGACCTTTCGCTTTATTAGGCGGCTGTGGCGGCTGGCTGCCCCCGTTCTCGCCCCCCTCCTCCTAAGGTGAGCCCCTGGCTCTGGGTTCGCTCCAGGCACTCTTAATTCAATTGTGGACTGCCTGACCTTTTGCGCATGCGCAGCAACTGCCATTTCATATGGCAGCCTGTTCTGCTCAGCTAATTACGCGGCGATCGAATCCAAATCCGAATGCAGCAGGTCCTAACATCCAGCCGAATGTTAATTTAACATTTCAATTGTGTGCGGCCAAATAAATTTTCACATAATTGCCCAAAAAGTCGGTGTCCAAGTGGGGATGTCGATCGAAAAGCGAATCGTAAACGCCGCAAAAGTGAAAGGGCAAAGCTCGGGTCTTTTCTTGGCTCTGGGGTCCCTTTAAATGGTTTAGCGGAAGAATAACCTTTCTAAGTCGACACGATAACTGCGCCAAAGTTAAAGCCAGGCACACGATTTGCCGCCAGGTGGGCAAGAGTCAATCCCCGAAACCCGCTAGTCCACAAAGTCGTGTCTGCACCATGTGCTTGATCGCTGGCCCAAACCAAAGACTCTGACTCTGGGTCTCTCTTGATCTGAAATTAGTTTATTGCTGCCTCGGCTGCCTTGCCATGTGAAGCAGGCGACATTTGCCGCCGATCGGTGGCCGCAGTATAAATGGCCAGAACTCGCAGCCAACGCTTGCAGTTTTCGGTTACTTCTTCTAGCGCGATCGTCGTCGAACTCAACGCTACTCAACAGCCACTCGTAAAGTGGTGTGTGCTGAGCCTGTGACAACTGTGAGCGAGTGGAAAGGATAACCGCGCAAGGACTTCGTTATGCTGAAGGTGTGAAAATAAAACAAAAACTGTTTGCTTTCTTTTAATAATTTGCAAATGGAATTAAACGAGTTCAATACAATACCAATAAAGTTAATTCCAAAAATAGTTGCTCAATATAAAATTAAATAAATTCAAGCAAGAATATAAAAAATGTTTTTAAAGGAATTAAAATTATAGACCTTTTATAAAATTCAAACTCAATTTTATTCAGCTGAAATAATAACAGTACAATATTATTTTGAAAGAAACTCAACTTAAGTCTTTTGAAATTTGTTAAAGCCGATTATAAAGTTATAGTTTTAATGAATTAAAAATGTGTGTTTGGTTTAAAAGCCCCACATTTTGAATGGAGAACTTACTACTCTAGATTATCTTAATAATATTATTGGTATTATATTAAAAAAGTATTTAATAATCTTAACTTCTTTTACCCGATATCGTATAGATTTCCCTGCTGAGCGCCGTGCTTGGCATCGCCTATGCGGGCGTGATTGGACCCGGACCCGGTCCCTACTATGGCGGTCCAGCGGGTCCCGGACCGCTGCATCATTATGGCGGATATGGCCCGCCGAGTGGCCCCCTGCCCGGTCCCTATGTGGCGCCCAAGCCAGCTGCTCCCGAGCCCTACGATCCCGAACCGAAGTACTCCTTTGGCTATGACATCCAAGACGGTTATACCGGTGACCTGAAGTCGCAGCACGAGACGCGTCACGGCGATGTGGTGAAGGGCAGCTACTCTGTGGTGGATCCGGATGGAACCAAACGCACCGTTGACTACACGGCGGATCCGCATCACGGCTTTAATGCGGTGGTACGCAAGGAGCCGCTGGCCTACAAGGCACCAGCTCATTTGGCACCTGTCCTCGCACCTGCACCCGCTCCAGCGCCAGCTCATCTGGGCTATGGCCCGGCTCCGGCTCCACCTCTACCGCCGGTGCCCAAGGCTCCCCTGCTCTCGTATCCTTTGGCCTTGGGTCCCCTTCACCGGGCTGCTCCTGCACCCGCCCCCGCTCCTGCTCCCGCACCAGTGCCTGTGCCAGTGGCTGCTCCAGTCCTGCCCTCCGCCCACTTCCATGCCGCCTATCCCGCCCTGACCCACGGTCCCTATGCCCACTATCCGGCTCCTGCGCCCGTGGATCCCCATGCCTACTATCATCACTAAGGCCCACCGATGTCCCACACTATCCGATCTGATTTGATTCGACTTCCATCTATCATCGCACGCAGCTTACACTGACCCAAAACTGAATCTCCGGCTTTATCTGTGCCAAACGCTGTACTCTCAATCTCTTTTGCTGTGTTCTTCGAGGGATTTGATACCGATCCAACGTGTAGATTGATTTTAAGATACACCTAGCCTATGTACATTTCTTAAGAATATGTTGTTGAATGGTTGGTCTAGAGAAATAAACCGATAAAGGAAAAACTTTACTGATTTTGATTGGGTGCATATATAGTATTTCTGAAGAAGGTGTAGTTGGTTCTGTGAACATATTTATTTTAAGTAATTTTATTATTTTAATATTTTTTACCATAATTCTGAATTTTGTTGGGTAGAAAATCAGGGTCTTTGATACAAATGGTCCCTAAAAAGGTATACTTACAGTAAGTTCTTAATCAATCCACAAACAAAAATCATAAATAAAACCAATGTTTAACGCAATTGATGTGTGTTTAATTTATTGTATCAACTTTTCGCAATGGTTCATATATGTATATGTTATATGATATCGTATGTGGCATATCTCATATGTATAATTATTCTGATTATGTATAAATATATGTGTGTGTTGTATATAAACGTTTCGAGTATGTCACCGTATGTTATAAATAAGTTTAGTTCAATGCATAAGTGTCATTTATTTATGTTTTATGTATAATAAGTTCTATGAGCTACCATTCGTAGAACAGATTGAAATGTGTTCGATATCGTTATATGTTTGCTCCATCCATATGTTTGTTTCAGAAGTTCATCATTATGCTGAGTGCATTTTGGTCTCGCTGCACTCGATTAGGTATACAATTTAAATACGATTATAGTCCTTAGTTTTGTAATAAACGGTATCAAAAGATAGGTACAATTGAGTCATGCCTGCTACCACTAAATTAATTTCGAAGCTTCTATTCCAACACAAACGATTAGTTGCCAAGCTCGGGGCTTCGTGTCTACCTTTATCTTCATCTCTATCCGTCTGATTGATTTGATGTGTACGATTATTTAAACTAAGGGGCTTTAGGCTGATATACCATACAAAGTGCTGTGCTCTAGAGGCCTTTACAGTTGGACAGGACACAATTTAGCTAAGTAATTCTGCTTAGAATAAGAGACTAATATACGGTGTACATACGGTAAATAAGCGGCTAATATAGCTCACAATATTCCTTGACAAGTGTATAATATTTAATTCATAATTTCTTCGTTGATTGTTTGGCTTCGTCGCGGATTTCTCCGTCCGGTTTTCTCATCGGCTTTTTGCGTAAGGTATAAATCTATTGTAGACAACCACTGGATGATGAAGACTATTTCGGGATATGCTTGAATTGCGTTGCTTGATATTAGTTGTCAGTACAAAAATTGGGGACAAACAAATGGCAGCTTTGGCTATTCTCAACTCAGATCTCAGTTACTGGAACTGATGCTTTTAAATTCGTCCTCGACCTACATACTCCTAGAAATGGCTTTCGACCTATGTATATAGATTTTATATATATGGTTTTGAATGGGATATGTTTCACTAATGATTAGATATTCGACTTAAGCATTTTTGTTTCGATTTTGGTTTATTTGTTTATAACTTGAAACGGAGGGTTTTCTTTTATTAAACTTGATTGGTTATTGGTAGGACATCTTTTACACACTTCGATGCGATTCGATTCGGTTTGGGTTGGTACGGTATGGTTAGAAAAATACTCATAGTGGGGACATTTCACTACACAGAAGTTGTTGAATATTTTGCTAACTGCATTTTGTTGATAGCTAAATCTCTTTATTGAATTCATTCTAGATTTATAGTCATTTTGTGTCATTTACTAAGTGCCTGGAAATTCTAGTGATAAGTGAACCTAGTTAAAATAAACCAAATCGATAGATGAGAAACCTAAATTATAACAGTTTCTAAAAATGTTTCCATATTGTCCTTATTTTCGTTCCTAACTTTCTTTTAAAATTTCGTTAACTAAAGGTGGAAGTTTCAAGAGAAATTAACTTTTCATAATATATAGCTAAGGTCTGATATATATTTATAAATATTTATTGATCTGTGGCATATCTAGGTTAAAAATGTACTCTCTTTCGGTTATATCTTTTGCTTATATTGATGTGAGTATTGTACGATATTGGGTATCAAGTTGTAGACATCTAAATTTATCGATTCGATTAGTTCCTTGTGGTATTTAGGTATTTTAAAGCAGTTTTCAATATCATTTGATTCGTAATTATATCTGAGTTATTCAAGTGTAATTTGACTAGTTTCATTGGAATGATGTGGATTATCTAATTTGTATGATGGTTCTGGTAGTAGATAAGATTCGATTCGATTAAGTAGATAGAAAAGGTGGTCCATTTAGTGATCGTATTCGTCAGCATATGATTAGGTTTATAAAGATGTCTGGTTGGCTACAAACCAAAAACAAAATAAATGTAAAAAGTCAGTGTTTTTCAATAATAGTTCTTTAATTAAAAACATTGCAGCACACTTTCAGTTAGCACAGATATTAATATTAAATAATATTAAGAAATAATACACAAGAACTCGGAATAAATAAGGATACAAATTAAAATTGATTGCGTGTTTACATTTACATTTAAAACGCTTATTGTATAAGCTTTGAAATGATATGAGAGCTAATCCAAAAACTGTTTAGCTGGTTTTTTTTGTATCTTTGAAATTGGGTTTTCCCTATCTTTTTTTTTTTTTTGAAAAAGGTGCGAGTTATAACAATTTTGCATGTACTAGCAAATTATGATTATGTTTCATTTATGATATAGGTGTTTTTTTTATTTTATCGTAGGTATGTATGTGTGTGAGTTACAGCTTATCTAATCTTTAAATCATTTCTGCATTATTTCCAGCTTTCAATATGTTTCACTTACTTATGCTTCGATATTTGTATATAATATATATAGATTTGTATCTTTCATAACTACTAAAAAAGTGTTCTCAGCTTATTCCAAGCTCTTCTTGAAATTCTCCTCCATCCGATTCATCGTATGCAATAAGGTATAAATATATGTACCACAATAGTTATATGGATCTATCTTTAGGTGTTTAGGTATGATTATTTAGAATATTTTGCAGGCCAGCCAATTGGATTTCCTCACTTGCAATTAATTCTTTTGGATTCTTATACTGTTTTTTTTTGTTTCATAGTTTAATGCCTTGCAGTTAAGTAACGAAGGTGTTATTTATGCAGTTCCACGCAGGTTTTCTCCGTGGTCGTCGTCGTCGTTGTTGTGTTCGTAGTGTTGCTGCTCGACGTCTCGTCCAAATCATCGTTGATGCTCTCCAGTTCCTGCTCGGTAATGATGGTCACCAGGCCACTAGAGTTCTCTGTTGAAAAGGGAAATAAATCCAGATTAGAATTCTACTAAATATTTTAACATTCGATTTGCTGAAATGGTGAAAAGGTGACAACACAAATCGTTGCATTACCGCTTTAATCCAACACAATCTAGGCAAGATCTGCTTGGCGGGCATGGGGCAGTGGAACGAGAGCAGAGCAAGAGAAATAATCGAGATTAGTATTTATAGAGGGTGTAAAAACCAAGGAGACAACATCAACACAAACAACACAGGAGATTGGAAAGCGAAAATAAAATCTAGCGCCCGAATGTAGGCACCGCAAACGAAACACAAACAGAGGTGGCCATAAAATTGAGCAGGCTACAAAAGGTGACAGTGAGTGCCATCAATTTCCGCACCATTCAAGTGCTGCTGATGCTGCTGCTGCATGAGGCTGGAGTGCGGGGGTGGCGGTGGGCGTCCGTCGTCCCCCAAATATCCGCCCGATGTCTGCATGCCGCCGGATATGTCCAGTCCGCCATTGCCTGTCATCAGGCTCCTTTGCTGCTGTGGATGTTGCTGCTGCAACTGCTGCTGTTGCTGTTGCTGCTGCTGTTGGTGCAACGCGTTCAGGGCTCCGCTGAGCTGGTGCTGATGATGCTTCGCCGCCAAACTGGCCAGCTGGGCGTGCTGCTGCTGCAGCTCGCTGTTCATCCCCGGCAGCATAATTCCCTCTGCGAGTGTGTGTTTGCGGTTTCAGTTTCGAAGGAGATGGTGGGTTTTCATTGATGGTGGGCGTGTACATTAGAGTGGGTGAGTGGGTGAGCGGGCGGGCGAATTTGGAGCAGAACAGACAAGAACAGCACACAATTAGAGGTTAGTTGGCAGAAGAGCCCCCTCGTTAATGCTAGTGGGCAGCGAGGCTGTCACTCTCTGTTAGTCGGAAGGCTAAACATTGGGGCAAGTTCCTAATCAGTTTCCTTTAGTTCACACTTTGCTTGAGCGATTATAAGCCTATCTATTTTGTATTGCCTAAACTTAAAGCATTTTTCTGCTTTTAAAATTCAGTAGAAAAGATCATTGCTATTCCTAAAACTATTTTATAAAGGTATCTTCGTAAAAACCTACTGATTTATATACCTACTTATTTAATACATTTTTTTATGATTATTTTGTATTATTTTTTAAATAAAAGTATTACAAGAAGTAACTTAAATCCCTGGAAAGGCAAAAAGACAAAAATATTTTTAGGACTCCTTCACAAGTAACTAAATTTCCCAACCAAACAGAGCTATTTGCAATGCAAAGCACTAGTCTATCAACATAAATATCCTATCCCCTGCTTGCTAATCCCTTCCCACTCACTTGAGTTGTGCTCGTAGTGGCCATTCTGCTGGTTCATCTTGGCCGGCGAGTCGGTGTTTAATTGCGAGGCGGTCACCGAGCGGGTTTGCAGGGTATTTGGCTTGGAGTTCAAGGCGGATCCGGGTGCGCTGGGCAGACCGCTGCTGGTGGCACTACTGCCGCCGCCATTGGGTTCATCCAACAATTGTCGCAGTCGCTGCAATTGGGCCTCTAGCTGCCGATTGTGGTCCTCCAGGATTTGCATACGCGCCTCCAGGCGACCTTTGTGCTGGCGCAGCAGCTTCGCCTCGGCCAT